CCCACCTTCAGTTTGTAGATGATATCATAATCTTTTGTGAGGGATGTGATTTGTTGAGGGCAAGAAATCTAAGAAATCTAATAACCCTCTTTGAGAATGTCTCAAACCTGAACTAAATCTTGAGAAGAGTTGTGTGGTGGGGCTAAATGTGGAGGGAAGGGAGTTGGAGTCTATTGCTGCCTGCTCAGAATGCCCTATTTCTGCTTGTACCTTGACCTTCTAGGACTTCCCCTAGGTGCAAATTCAAAGGAAAGTAGGTTTTGGATCCCGGTGGTAGAGAAGTTTGAAAAAAGGCTAGTGACCTAGAAAAGAACTATATCTCTCTTGGGGGTAGAATAACTTTGATTAGGGCTACACTCGGAAACTTACCCATCTACTTATCTGCTTTCATGATACCTATTAGGGAAGCCAAGAAGATAGAAAAGTTGATGAGGGATTTTTTGTGGGAACCAAGTGCAGAGAAAAAGGATCATTTGATTAGATGGGAGGTGGTGAGTCGAAGCAAGGAACAAGGGGGCTTAGGGTTAGGGAACCTAGTAAATAAGAATGAAGCTCTTTTGGCAAGTGGTTATGGAGGTGGCCTCTGGAAGAGAGAGATTGTGGCATGAGGTGGTGGCTAGTATCCATGGCTGTTCTGAATCTGGTTGGGATGCCAGGATATCTCAACAAGCCATACTCACTACACCTTGGAAGGCGATTTTTGGCATCCTCCCAAAATTTCTCAAGTTTGTAAGGTATGATGTCTACAATGGTAATTCTGTGCTTTTTATGGAAGATGCTTGGGTGGGCAACCAACCATTAAAAGACCTCTATCCCTCCCTTTTTTCTATTTCCCTCTATAAAAAGGAGCCTGTTTTGAGGTTTCTTTCTCCCCCCATTCTCCCATTGCCTCTTAATTGGGACTTTGTGTTCCGTAGAGGGTTGAGGGATGAGGAATCAGTTTTTGTCTCTGAGCTCTTACTTTTACTTGATTCTGTTTRTTTGGACCCTCCTAAACCAGATAGAAGAATTTGGTCTTTGACCTCGAATGGCTCCTTCTCTTGTTCTTCCTTCTTTAAGTCCCTTTGCTCTACCCCTACCCCTTTGTTGTTCCCAGTTAAAGAAGTCTGGTCAAGGCCAATTCCATCTAAAATTGTTGGTTTTTGTTGAGAAGTGTATCATGGTAAAATTAATACTATGGACAATGTACAAAAAAAGAGACCTTTTTCATGCTTGTCCCCCAGTTGGTGCATTTTATGTAAAGTGTAGAATGAGGACTGTTATCACCTATTGATTTCTTGCTCTTTTATAGTAAATATTTGGAATTGGGTTTTTATGCTATTTGGGTACAAGTGGAACCTGCCTCCTGAAGTAAATCTGCTTTTTGATCCGTCTTTTTTTGGTTGGCCAACAAAGAGAGGGAAGGTAATGTGGAAATGTATTAGGGCAGCCCTCTTATGGACCATTTGGGAGGAAAGAAATGCCAGAATTTTCTAGGAGGAGAGAAGCATTGCT